TTTTAAGTTTTAAGTTCATTTCAGCAACCTTCTACAAAAACAAACAAGATAGGGTTAAAGGCAGAAGATCCACTGATAGCTCATCAGTCTCTCTGTCTGTCCATGTGTACAGTCCATCTCTCTGGAGAGGCCATCATCTCAGGGGACAAATTTGTCCCCCACCAACAGCTACTGGAAATGGTTTTCCCCTTCTTTCCCTAGAGGCTCATTCATGTTGTTTAGTCCATCTTTTGCATCTATTAACTTATTTTTATGTGAGAGGCTATGTGTCCTGATCCAGCTGCTGTCTTTAGCACAGCTGACATTTAAGGCTTTAAATATAACAAAACATCTTGCTCTTGCTGCACACACTGAGAAGCGTATTTAACAAACCTCTTCATGTACAAGACATTATCAATCATGTAATTGTTTAACTCTCATCCAGATGATTTTGTTGGTATCTAATGGGATTTTCCAATGGTGTTATGACAGTGATGCCGGTTTATGCAGTTAATTAACCCAATTTAATATTTTGGGTTCTGAGGACATACATGAAGGTAATACAACACTGTCACCTAGTGGCAATAAACACAACTGCAGATAGTATGCCACTTCTACAAATGCTATTCATATTCCTTAGACAGAAAACTTTGAATCAGTCTGACTGTATGATCCAGTTGAATTGTCTCTGTAAAGTGCTTTCAGATGACATTGGCTCTATATAAAATTCTCCACAGAGAAGTAAATTAGTTAGGTCTCAGAGGTTTGTTTTATTAAGACTGAGGGACATGATACAGATTATGGATAAAGCTTTAGAAATGTTCAAAGTAAGTTTAGATATGAAACAATAACTTAAGCTTTAAACATCTTACAAGATTGTGTTAGATCGAAAAACTTTTTTCTTGTCTGTGAATATTCTGAATTAAGACCTCCTGAGTGGCATTGTTTTAGCTTCAGCAGGTCTACATTCTGTATAAAAATCTTCTCTACAGCACCTTCTGGTGTCCGATTAATCATCCATTTATGGGAAAAATCTATTGACAGATTAATCCAACAGCAAAATAATCTTAAATTGCTCTGGTAAGCAGCTCTAGTTAAAATGGCCTGAATTTGCAGTGGTTAAAGTACATTTTAAAATTAAAAAAAAATATTTTACTCATGCTAATTTCTGAAATGTTATAATTTGAATAAAAGAGAATATTGTGTACTTTTGTATTTAAAGAAAACTTGTTCAAAACATACTTTTTATGAATAGATGCATTATAAGGGTAGAACTTTAGTAATTCCCCTCTTAGATTGTTTTCCTGTTGTTCAAAACAATCTTTCTTCTTTCCGACTTTCCTGTGGTTCATTCAACTCTCCTGTTCTACAACTAGCAAGAGGTGCTCCGCTGGAGTGGAGGTTTTTGAGCTTCAGTGAACTCAAACAAAGCAGTTTGAACTGATTCATGTGGAAAACCTCAAGAGTCCCTAATAAACTGCTCAGTGGTGTGTGTACACATTGTTGTTTTTCTCTCTCAAGTGCTCCAAGATCCACCAAACAAGTAGGTGTGGGAAATATTTCCATCATATGTGAAACTCATTAAGCCTCTTTGTGTGCCAATATCTTCTGACGATACAGTCAAGTACAGAAACTAGCTTAACGGATGCAAACTGAGTGAGAAAGTTGAAGATTTCGGACTTGCACCAAATTAAAACATATCAGCGTGTACGTGTTCAGTTAACAAAGGTTCCTTTGTGATGCTCAGTTAAATTTAATGGGGTTTCATGCAAGGTTCTCCAGGGAACTCTGGTTTTAACCTTTGAACTTCACTAAAGCATTAAGGAAGTGACTGGAAGTATCAGCTGCTGGTGAAAAAATATCTGTGTAACTCTTTTATTCAACCATTCTATATGTTTTGGCATGAACATGTTGGATCTCTATGGTTCTAGTTATAATGGCCTTCTTAGCGGCGTCTAATTTTGTTAGTTGCTGCAAAAGCACTGCAGGAAAACCCAACCTTCAGTGGGAGATTTATCAAAATAGTATAAACCATTGTTTGCCAGCTTGAAAGAAATTAGTAAAGGAACTTCTCCTTTTACCCTCTGAGTATTATACATATTACTATACTTTGTTTTTGCTTTTTTTATTCATATGGATAAGAAACAATCATTGCAGTTAAACCTGTTTTTAAGATTTGTTTTATTAATATTTAACATATTAAAAAGTCTTCATTTTAAAATTATATAAACAAACATTTATAGAAATCTTGACTTATGAAATGCAAGAGTGAGATTTTCGTTTATTTATTCTATAAAGTCTACAGTTTTATCTGCACCTGCCGAAATGATGAAAAAACAACATTTTCATATTAATTTAAATTGACAAAAGTTCCCTTTTCATTCCATGTTGTAAAGCAAATGACAGAGAAGTCATGAAGGTCTAAAACAGATAAAACATGTTGAGATTTTAATCAAGTCAATTTTGATAAATCCAGAAAAGTAGTTTTTTTTCTTAAATTCCTAATTAAAGTACCGGTAAAACATTCAAAGTGCTCTTTATACTACCAGAAGGTTTTGGCACAATGAACTGAACTTTCAGATTTGGGAAAACAATGTGATCACTTTGAGACATGATGAGATTATGGTCCATCTTTAAAAAAAAAGCCAGCAGAAAAGTAGTGTACTGGAAGAAGGCTTAACAAATTTGCACCATAGTGCTTTTGTTTCCTAATAACACAAAAACATCTCAAAATCCTTTTTTTCTTTTTTAATAAAAGACCACAGCAAAAAAAAAAAAAAAAAAAAAAAAAACGGAACATAGAAAGTTTTTTTAATCCCTAAAAAAACTAAAATCTCTTACACAGAAACAATCCCTTTAAAACAGCATTGTGATATGAGAATTGTTCATGCTCTCCTCTATTTCTAAGAAATTTTGGGAGACAAACAATTTGCATTTTTAAAAAACACATTTGTATCAATTTCAAGGCTGGAGAACAGGTACTTGCACAAACCGATGAGCTTTCTTCCAATCCTAAATGAAAACTAACACAAAAAAGAAACAGCATGCCTTGCCAAATAATACAGATCTGTTCTTTCACCTTCTAAATTCAAGATTTAAATGACTTTGGTCATTTTCTGGGGCCTAAATCTGACATGAAATAAAACTGGATGATACTGATGATGGATTATTGAGTCACCACGTTTTTATATCAACCAAGCCATGTTGTTGTATGTGGAAAAGTACTTTGCTCGTCTAATCGTTTTTTCCCCCCAAATGCCCTGAGAATCAGAAGCCATTAAAATCAGAACCGTTTTTTAATAAACAAGTTGAACACAAAAACAGAAAATTAACCCCCTTTTATTGCCATCCCAGACCTAAATCCTGTGATAAACCAGCCAAAACCACATAAAATGCTATAGAAGACTCAGTAAGTGCTGTTGGCAGAATTAACAGCTCTGACTTTGGTAATATTCCTCAAGAGGGATTTTTTTCCTTGATAAAAAAAAGTTCTGATACTGATTTTTCAGGGTTTCCAGACTTATTTTGACTCTACAAAAAGAGGAAATTAGGGCTTTTCTTGAAATGTTGAACGATTACTTAAAAAATGTATTTCATACTAGAACGTTTTATGAGAAAAGGTAAAACCTGAGGCACGAAAAGAAAATGTTTAAAAATGTCTGACAGCAATTATAAAAGCTTCCATTTCTGTGGTATTGTTTATACAAAGTGTTTCAGCAATGTTTTATGTGTCTTCACCAGCCTGCACCCTTCCATCATTCAGCAGTCTCTCTCTCTCCGCCTCACTACTATCCTCCTCTAGGTTCATTCTGGCGGCGCACCAAGGTATCTTGGCCAACAGGGGGCGATGCAGTCCATTGTAGAGCGCCGTTCCTGTCAGGAGGACCAAAAATCCAAGAACCTGCAAGCCGTGAAACTGCTCCCAACCCAAAGCCAGGCTGACCACCCAGATGACCAGAGTACGCAGGCTGTCCAGCACCATCCGGGTGGTTGCGCTGATCTCTTTGGTGACGCTGATGCCGGCGAAGTTGAAGAAGGCGATACTGACCGTATTGCCCAGAAGAGCCAAGAGGATCAGGGGCTTGTGTCCAATCTGACAGAAGGCATCCAGCGCGTCCTCCAGGACCTGCCGAGGATTGTTACTGAAGTTCCCAACATAGATGAAGTACATTGGGATGAGCAGCAGGGACAGCACAACAAAACCAAACAAACCTGAAAATGGAAAACCAAAATTAATATGGTTAAATGAAAAACTATATAAGCTACAATAATAAAAAAAATATAGATTTATTAAACAGTGATAAAAGTTTTTTTTCAATCTGAACTTGGAAAAACATCATTTTTTGTGACATAAGAATGCAAAATTACCCCAACTTCATTTACCAGCTTCCCTCCATTTCAAAAGGATATCTTGAAGATTTTACATATAAAGTAAATATTGTGAAATTGAAAGAGATAGAACAAGATTTTTCACATTTTTTTAATAACAAAAATCTATGAGGTGCGTCTGTATTCAGCGTCTTTATTCTGACGCCTCTAAATTAAATCTATTGCATCATCTTTTGAACAAAAAAGGAAAACATTTATTGTGCTGTTGTATTCAGTCTTTCTGAGTGAAAACTACAACCTGCTGGATGAAAAACCTCCTTTAAAGTATCAAGTCCTTTTAAGTTTCAACTCTTCTTTCTGCTTTTACCTCCATCATTTAACTTACATCAGTTTTTTCGGCCCTACTTGAGAAAAAATGTCTCCACATCATGATGCTTCCACCACCATTACTTATCAATAGTGTTCTGCCACAGAAAACACTTTGCTAGTTCGCCAAAAAGCAGGTTTTAATTACGCCTCTCTTTCTTTCTTTCTTTTATTCTGATTATGCTATTTTTAATTACTGTTTGGCAGAGGTTTAAAGGGGTACAGTAGGTAAAAATACTTTGTACTGTACNGCTTTTGTTTCCTAATAACACAAAAACATCTCAAAATCCTTTTTTTCTTTTTTAATAAAAGACCACAGCAAAAAAAAAAAAAAAAAAAAAAAAAACGGAACATAGAAAGTTTTTTTAATCCCTAAAAAAACTAAAATCTCTTACACAGAAACAATCCCTTTAAAACAGCATTGTGATATGAGAATTGTTCATGCTCTCCTCTATTTCTAAGAAATTTTGGGAGACAAACAATTTGCATTTTTAAAAAACACATTTGTATCAATTTCAAGGCTGGAGAACAGGTACTTGCACAAACCGATGAGCTTTCTTCCAATCCTAAATGAAAACTAACACAAAAAAGAAACAGCATGCCTTGCCAAATAATACAGATCTGTTCTTTCACCTTCTAAATTCAAGATTTAAATGACTTTGGTCATTTTCTGGGGCCTAAATCTGACATGAAATAAAACTGGATGATACTGATGATGGATTATTGAGTCACCACGTTTTTATATCAACCAAGCCATGTTGTTGTATGTGGAAAAGTACTTTGCTCGTCTAATCGTTTTTTCCCCCCAAATGCCCTGAGAATCAGAAGCCATTAAAATCAGAACCGTTTTTTAATAAACAAGTTGAACACAAAAACAGAAAATTAACCCCCTTTTATTGCCATCCCAGACCTAAATCCTGTGATAAACCAGCCAAAACCACATAAAATGCTATAGAAGACTCAGTAAGTGCTGTTGGCAGAATTAACAGCTCTGACTTTGGTAATATTCCTCAAGAGGGATTTTTTTCCTTGATAAAAAAAGTTCTGATACTGATTTTTCAGGGTTTCCAGACTTATTTTGACTCTACAAATAAAGGACATTAGGGTTTTTTCTTGAAATGTTGAACGATTACTTAAAAAATGTATTTCATACTAGAACGTTTTATGAGAAAAGGTAAAACCTGAGGCACGAAAAGAAAATGTTTAAAAATGTCTGACAGCAATTATAAAAGCTTCCATTTCTGTGGTATTGTTTATACAAAGTGTTTCAGCAATGTTTTATGTGTCTTCACCAGCCTGCACCCTTCCATCATTCAGCAGTCTCTCTCTCTCCGCCTCACTACTATCCTCCTCTAGGTTCATTCTGGCGGCGCACCAAGGTATCTTGGCCAACAGGGGGCGATGCAGTCCATTGTAGAGCGCCGTTCCTGTCAGGAGGACCAAAAATCCAAGAACCTGCAAGCCGTGAAACTGCTCCCAACCCAAAGCCAGGCTGACCACCCAGATGACCAGAGTACGCAGGCTGTCCAGCACCATCCGGGTGGTTGCGCTGATCTCTTTGGTGACGCTGATGCCGGCGAAGTTGAAGAAGGCGATACTGACCGTATTGCCCAGAAGAGCCAAGAGGATCAGGGGCTTGTGTCCAATCTGACAGAAGGCATCCAGCGCGTCCTCCAGGACCTGCCGAGGATTGTTACTGAAGTTCCCAACATAGATGAAGTACATTGGGATGAGCAGCAGGGACAGCACAACAAAACCAAACAAACCTGAAAATGGAAAACCAAAATTAATATGGTTAAATGAAAAACTATATAAGCTACAATAATAAAAAAAATATAGATTTATTAAACAGTGATAAAAGTTTTTTTTCAATCTGAACTTGGAAAAACATCATTTTTTGTGACATAAGAATGCAAAATTACCCCAACTTCATTTACCAGCTTCCCTCCATTTCAAAAGGATATCTTGAAGATTTTACATATAAAGTAAATATTGTGAAATTGAAAGAGATAGAACAAGATTTTTCACATTTTTTTAATAACAAAAATCTATGAGGTGCGTCTGTATTCAGCGTCTTTATTCTGACGCCTCTAAATTAAATCTATTGCATCATCTTTTGAACAAAAAAGGAAAACATTTATTGTGCTGTTGTATTCAGTCTTTCTGAGTGAAAACTACAACCTGCTGGATGAAAAACCTCCTTTAAAGTATCAAGTCCTTTTAAGTTTCAACTCTTCTTTCTGCTTTTACCTCCATCAATTAACTTACATCAGTTTTTTCGGCCCTACTTGAGAAAAAATGTCTCCACATCATGATGCTTCCACCACCATTACTTATCAATAGTGTTCTGCCACAGAAAACACTTTGCTAGTTCGCCAAAAAGCAGGTTTTAATTACGCCTCTCTTTCTTTCTTTCTTTTATTCTGATTATGCTATTTTTAATTACTGTTTGGCAGAGGTTTAAAGGGGTAGGTAAAAATACTTTGTACTGTACTTAAGTAATTTTTNCTCTCTTTCTTTCTTTCTTTTATTCTGATTATGCTATTTTTAATTACTGTTTGGCAGAGGTTTAAAGGGGTAGGTAAAAATACTTTGTACTGTACTTAAGTAATTTTTTAAACAACTGTAAATTCTTACTTTAATACGACCGAGTATTAGGGCCAAGTTAGAGATTTTTTTATTATTTTCATTTTGAGAATAAAGACGTAACATTACGAGATAAAGTCATAAAATTACAGGAATAAAGTCGTAATATTATGAGAATGAAGTCATCATACAACAACCCATTTCATAAACAAAGCTTCGAGCTCCGACCAGCATATGATGGCAAACCAGCACCACCAAACAGCAACCTGAGTCCATTTTGACATTGGCAAATTTGATTCTGGTGCTAAAAGTTTTCCTTAATTGCCAAACCAGAGCCAAAGCATAACTTCACATAATGCTCGAAATTCCTCATTTTAGGGAGGACAGTGCTTTTTGTAAGAGTTTTTATGAAATACAACTGGTTTTATGACTTTATTCTCTTAATATTAGTACTTTATTCTCGTAATTTTGTTGTAACTTTTTTCTTGTAATTTTACAACCTTACCCTTGTAATATTCCGACTTTATTCTCGTAATTTTATAAATTTATTCTCATAATTTTACGACTTTATTCTCGTAATGCTACGACTTTATTCTCCAAATAGAAAAAAAAAAATCTCTTTCTGGCCCTAATACTCCAGCATACTTTAACTCCCAATTTGCGACAACAAATATCTGTTATTTCTACTGTATATCAATACTGGATCATTGCTTATTTACCAGCTGATAACAACAATGCACAGAAGTCAAACAAAACCGAGGGAAAATCCAGTGAATGGTCAGAAGGTGTTCACTGTCTGGGACCACGCTTTGTGACAGAATAAAACAAACAGCAACTGTGATGAGGTCAGTGATCTGTAAAACACTGCAGTCTATTTTTCTTTAAGAAAACTCTGTAATGTTCTCGGCTCTCAGAAAAAAAACCCAAAGAACACCCAGTTTAAACTAACAACCCAAAAACAACAAGCTTGTGCTGCTCAAGAATTCTTCATCACATTGGAAAATAAAAATAAGGACACAGGAGTAATCTTAGGGCAGGTTTCTGAGTAAAAGAGGAAAACTATCCAATCATTCAGGGTTATCAATTGTGTATTTTGTATGGAAACCCATTTCTGCTACTCTTATGAAAAATAAAACAACTTGTCTCCCATAAGTATGACTTAGCTATCTTATAACTCATAATTCTGAGATAATTAAGTCAAAATTACGAGAGAAAATTTGTTTTATTTTGTATCAGAAGGGCGGGAATAGGCTTCCAATAAACTTGTATCATTGAAGGTTGTTTTTCCACTTATAACATACTGCTGTAATACTATTGTTGTGGCCCAGCTTTAATGGCACAAATAAATCCACAAGGGTCACAGATGCACCATGGACAAGTAATTTAAGCAGGCAAAAAGAAAACAATTTTCCATGTTAACTCCTTTAGTTTTGTGGTGTATTTCAGCTTAAGCAAGCAAACAGAAAAGGATAAACATTTCCTAAATGGTTCTCTTGCACTGGTAAAAAAAACCATACGCCCACCCAGATGCATGCTTATAATAATGTATTATAATACATTTTAGAACCTGTATATGTATAAAGAAGTACTTCTATTTTTGTCTTTAACACTAGTATTTGTACTTTTGATTNAGAACCTGTATATGTATAAAGAAGTACTTCTATTTTTGTCTTTAACACTAGTATTTGTACTTTTGATTGAGTAAAAATATGATTACCTGATGTACATAACTTTTACTATTCTTTTTTAAGTTCTTTTCACTGTACAGTGTCTTATTCTTTTTGTTACCTATACCTACAGGATAAAGAAAGGATCTCTTTGTTCTTTTCTATTTTATTCTTTTCTATTCCATTCTATTATATTATATTCTATATTTTGTTGCCAATCTTTTACACTTCTTCCACAATGTATGCTTTTCTTTCCACACTATGTACCTCTTGTAAAAATTAAGTGTTAAAGTGAGATGAAATTTTTGTGAGATGGTTAAAACAAAACAGAGTCTTCGAATGCAAGTATCCTCTTTCCCTAACGACAGTCTGCACAGTTCATTTTCACAAACGTCTGAGGTAACAATTGATATTCTGGACAACCTCAGATAAATTATCTCAGGCTCTTATCAGGGCTTCTTATGTAGCTACTCTGTTCAATAAGCAGCTACTTTAAACCTCAAAGGTCATTGTGACTCTCCTGCCTCAGACAAAAACACATTAAAGCAGCACTAATGGATCTGTTTGTTCTCTTTGCAATGACAGTTTGTCGTCTGATAAAATAGCTTATTTCCATTTTCCAGCTGTTACCGAACCCCGCAGTCATGCGTCTCAATCTGCCGCAGGGTGAATGCTATCTTTCACTTTTGGTTAGTGCTGTGCTTGCTGTCTTATATTGAAGGTGGAGATACTTGGATCAGTCTATGATGGTAGGGCTGAAAGCTGTACAACTAGAACCACTAAGGGAGTGGAGTCAGACTGCCTAATTTAATGTCTATTCATGCATAAATGAAAACAAGGAACATCAAATGATTTATTGAACACAGAGTCCCTTTTTACGCCCATCTCTACATTATAGTAATAAAAATAAATGATCATAAGCCTGGTCTGTGATGAAAACTAATTTCAAAGAAAGCTACTCTCGAATTTCCACTGCACAGCACCAACCTATAAGAGTTTTTGGAATAACTATAAGAGTTGCACTTATACTCACTTGTACTCACTTTCTAATCTGCATTTTTCTCTTAACCTAAAACACTTTTCTTTGTTTATGAATCCTTCGGTGAGAACACTTATTTGTAAGAGACCCTGGTTTCTCAGCTATGATTGGAGTTACGTCTGGTTACAGTCTAGATTAAATGTCATCAGATTCTTGGGTCAGAGGTGTAGTTTCTTAAGCCTCTTTTTTATTGGATTTTTTGTTGATATTTAAACATCCAGATTGGTTTTAAATCCTTCTTTCTGTTTTGTTTTAGAGCCACAATTTCTAGAGGCTGATCCTTTT